TAACCATATAAACAATAATCAATTAACATAAAACTGAGAAAATTTTAAACAACAGGTATTGTGTATATTTGGTTTTCTTATTGTTTATTATTTTAAATAAAAAATTTAGTTCGACTGGCAGAAAAAGCCTTTGACTCTTTGTCCCTCTTTATACAAAGATTTCTTGGTGCATAAAGCGTTAAAAAATAAATAAATAAATATTCATGACCCCTGTTTGCTCCAATATTGCTGTATTCACGTAAAAAATACTTTAAAAAAGAAACTAATCAAGTTCTTTGTGTAATATTATGTTATTCACGTATTGTGCCATTGTGGAGGAGTTTAAAAGTCGAAGACTTTACATCGATATATTAGATAATCTGGCCGGCCCTTAAGCTTACATTCCGAGATTTATCTATCTAATAGGACGAGATAAAATTAGGGCCAGCATCGGATATACGTTAAGAGGATTCAGTGCCCTTAAAGGGCATATAGCCGAGATACGCGACGCTCAGATAGGTGGGACGTATAAATCGAAGCGCGCAGTTGGTTTTTTGCGCGTTTTTGGATTCCATTGTGTCAGGTAAAAGGCGATATGCGGGCGCTGGGGGCTCGTTCTTTTGCAACGAGACTTTTTACACTGTCAAGGCAGGAACACCTGCTCCCAATTCGGCATTGTTTCGTTATACGGAATGCCCGCTGACGTCCAAGTGTACCATCTGCTCGGAAATTTATGGGATTTCGTCCCTCGATGGCCATAAGCGCCCGTTACAATTCATCCTGACTCCATATCGTGGGCGATAATCGAAAACAGACAAAACTGACTAAATTATACAGATATTAATGACAGGATTTTGCGGTATTTGGAACTCTACTTATTTTTTTTTACGACAACATTTTCACCGTTTCCGTGATTATGAACAAAAATGTTTAATGGTTAATTATATCTTAACAATTATTACGGAAATCGTTTTTGGTTTGCTTCATAATGCCCTGCCGTGTTATTGATATTATTACAGTTTAATAACGGTCGTAACTTACGTCGACCACACCTTAAGAATGTATTTGTATATCGATTACTTGGTTATAATCGGCTAATGCCTGCGTATTTATCGTATTAAAATTTCATTGGTTTGATAGCAACACCGAAAACGTATGTTTTTCTTCCTCCATAAATACGTATCGACATCGTTAAGGCAAATATTTTACTGATGATACAACACTTTATTCGACCCCTAATGGGCGGCTACTTCTTCGAGGCATTAGTTACACTATTTTATTGTATACCGGATGCATACGAATGGCATTTAAGGCGAACGGTTTTGCTGGAATAATTAAATTACGGTAATGTTTTCACTCTTACTGCACCGCCAGATTATTTCTGGCCATAAATTATATACACAAATGTTCGGTCCAGTGTCGTAATGCAATCGCAATGTGCTTCAGAGCAGCGGGTCATAGGTTCGATTGCCTTAGAGGGAAAATTATTCAAAGGGGTTTTGTTTATATTAAATGAAACTATTTTACGGATGTTAGACCCTTTCCAACCTAGATCCAGACGCAGTCCCGTGCCATGAACGCTGGAGAGGGTTCGAAACATCGGGAAGTAAAATTCAAAATCAAAACGTGATCAAATCCGTTAACTTGTTTCATTTAATATAATAAACATTATTAAGTATTTTTATAATATTAAGTATTATTTAATTTGTATGTATAAAATTCGCGTAAAATCAAGAAATTAATATGGGTTTTGCTTAGGTATAGCGTGCGCAAATGCGTTAAACGTGGACTTTTTAAATTGATTGCAACTGTTATTCGCTTCACAATTAGTAAATTTACTTAAACAAGTTACACTACACCCGTACATCGTAAAGGTTCTGTCCAGTTAAATAGAAATATTACTGTTTTTACTTTTCGTTTGAAACTTACTCAGACTGAATTTCTGGACCGAAAATTATTGTCGGCATCTATCACTGTGGACCTCATAGATAGGAGAAGCATATGTAACACCTCATATGTTTTATGCCAATCATTAATTAACTGGTGAAACATTAGCTTTTAATTTTTTAAAGTTTTTGTTTTATTTATTTTTTAATTTATAAAATTAAATCCAAGCACTCGAACGCTACTAGAACCCAAGATACCATCAGCTCTTTTTTTGTAAATCGGAATAAAATACATATTAAAACAATTGACGGTAGTCGAGGTTAACTCTGACATTAGTACTCAGTCTGTACTGTAACCATGAACGATATGAAAGTGTTTGAAACGTCGGGAGTTTAAATCAAATAACACGTGATAATATCTGTAAAACAGTTTCATTTACCTATGTACTGTATTTGTGTAAGTACAACATCAATTCGTAGGTTACTTTTACAATAGCACTTATTTTTGGCGTGATTTATTTACAATGAATATACTCGCATCATATCACGCAGCGTGTTACCCGGAACTTAATAGCCGATAGTCATTATCGTCGAAGCTTGACCGTGGGTCCGAGGTTCGAATGGGCATTCGCATTGTCTTCGTTCACGGCCCATCGAGCGCCAACCGCCGATGCGTGATTTCCCCCCACGCCCGACATATGAGGCAGAAATTAAAGGCAAATTTTCTCTTATTATTCACAGCAGGGAGCAGCTAGGAAAGTGGACTTGCTTGTATTCCCAGGACTAGATTAAGGTGTGCCTTTCACTGTTAACCTTCTAGTTGTATTTGGTTTGACCTTCGTTATATGCAAATGCTAGCTAGAAGATAAGTCAGATTTTTGAGAACTATAGTGTTTATGATAGACTCCATAAAAAGCATTTAATTGGCGCTGATAAATTATGGACCGGGAATTTAAAAGCAGCCTTTCTTAGGTTTCATATACCTGGTGGATTCCGTGGCCATAGATAGCGCTGAGGTATTTTACATCGTGCTGTTAAAGTTAATGATTATTAATGTAAATAAGGTTGGTTGCTCTAACTGCACCTTGGATTCTCGCTGCGTCCAGATAGGATATTCTTAATGGTTGAATATTAGTTCTGTGATACCCACATAGGATGAGTGGGTTTTAAACAATGAAATAATGAAGTACTGACGCTTAATAATTGGAACCACCACCTTTATCACGCGGCTTTAATCATTAATCGCTTTATTGACTGTGGTAGGGCCACGTAACAGATTCCGTTGCATGAATGGGCAGGTCCGTCTAGTAAAATACCACGACTTTACAGAAGACCGGCGACATCTACGTTCACTCCGGTCTTTTGTGGGGCCGTGTTGCTTACCCGGACGGACCCGCCCATTCGTGCAACAGCGAAAGCCGTCGTGTTGCGAAACTAGTTTTTATTGTCTCCTCGATAAGTTTTACCATACTAGCGTCACCGTTAGGATGATTTCCTTTATGGTGTAATATGGATGAGCTAAGAGTGCATTTTTATCCAGCCAGTAAGCTCTGATTAGGTTAGGCACTATTGTAATCTTGCATTATGCAAAAAGGTGGCAAGGGAACTTAAAATGATTACCACCTCTGCAACGCGGGTGAGATTGGAGACGTCTTGCCGATTCAAAAAAGTTAACATGGACTGAACGCAGAAGTGTATAAAACGTTCTGTCGGTCTCTTAAAATTTATGTGCATTAATAAAATTCATATAAAAGTCTTTTCGTCGCTGTGTGGTAGCCAGGACGTTATTAACGTCTTATATCCCGAAGCACCACAAAAAATAATATAATCAGTGAGTAAATTACTCTTTATACTATAGAAAAAATACGATTTTTATGAAATAGTCGTAGAAGCATATTCGTCCAACATTTATATGCAAGCTACATTTCTACAAATTTTAATATATGCATGGTTTTAAAAAACAGCATAAAGCAATACTTTGTATTTTTTCCCATTTTGCTGTAAAATGAAAAAAAACTTCTTGTTTGTGAATTTTGTAGATTAATGAACAAAAACTTTCAGCGCTTCGGCATTCGTACCTGCGTCAGCTATATAATAAACTTTTGCCACATAAATAAAATGTATCCTACATGCATAAAAACAATCCCGAGTGAAACATTTTACTGAAATTTTTCGACCCAGTCGTGCTTCAGACACAAACACACCTATACACACCTATTCTGCAGTGATGTTGGTACACGCAACACGAAACATCATGCCTAATATCTCCTGAAACGACACAGTGAATAACAACACTATTATAGCACTCCACGCCGCTGTTCCTTTGAAGCGTCATTCATACCAGGATTCTTGATTCATACATGTGTATGCCGTTATGGCGAGTAAAAGTGACCGGGCGCGGACAGAGGTCGCTTGTGCAGACGCATCCGGCCCAAACGGATCGTTGTATGCGATGCACGTGCTCACCGCACGACCATCTCGTTATACTACAGTTTTTATTAGATCCCTTGTAACGAGCGGGCGGAGGAAATTCATGAAGTTCTGCACCTTGCACTGCTTGTATCTGGAATGATTCAGTTCGTTTTCGTGTTCGTTTCGTTGTTGGTCGAGTGGACGATTTGTAGTGGCGAATAGTTACGATGCGACGCGCGGTGTTGGTCGTTTTTTCTATTTGTAGCTAACGTTTTTATGAACTTATAAATAATTCGCACCTAAAGATGAAATGGTTTCTTTCCTGTTAAGAATAACGAGGTTCCGCTTTGATACTAACATTTTCGATACACGATTACATTTATTTAAACAGATTTAATGATTGGGCCTATCGTAAATGTTTGAAATGATTGTGATAATAATCAAGGCTCCCTGACCACCTCATTATAATAAGATATTGTGAGGATAATTGAGTAAACAGAGAAACTTGATTTACATAGGTTTTACATAACTTATATAAAAGGTTTCCATATTAATTTTAAATTTTAATAAGGCTGCAGAGTATAAATAGTAGACACATTATCTACAATTTCTGTGATAAGATGTAATTTCCTATTCCCATCTTCAGCCTAATATAAATCTGGACCGAGCTGTGCCTCATTATATTTACGAAAGCAATTTTTCATTACTGACCGTATATTGCAGTGAGGATGCGCGCACGCCCCTCGAGGTGGCGCCAGTGAGCGGAGCTGGGGCGAGCGGGGCAGCGAGCGCAGCGGGCAGCGGAGCGGGCGGCGGAGCGGCGAGCGGAGCGGGTAGCGGTGCGGGCGGCGGGGCGGCCGAGCGGACCCCCTGCGCCTGCGCCGCATGGCCCCCGCCGCGCCGCCAGCCCGCCCCCCACGAGATCCTTCGTCCGAAGCCCAGGAGGTGCGTCCAAACACACGGGATCCCTACTTAGGAAGTTTCTTCCTAAATTTAGAAAGTAAACTTTGAAATGGAAGTGTTTCAGGTGGTAAATTTATAACAAAACTTTCTAAATGAGAACCATTTAGGAAGACTTGGTTTGAATTTAGTGAAATTAATTTAAAAAAATTTCCGAGGGTTACAGATGCGTTGACAACCTTTTGAAAATTGGGCTCCGGCTACCTCACTCACCAGACGAAACGCGAAAGTATTTCTCATACTTCCACTTTACGCTGGTCTTCTGTGAGGTCGTGGTACTTACCCGGACGGGCCTGCCCATTCGTGCAACAGCCGAGGCTGCTGCGTGGCCCTACCACCGTAAGTAGATAGTTTAGGTAGGGTTTTTTAATTGCTGTAGGGGTATTAAGGTTTTATACTGACTAAACATCAGAACTGAGAGCCCAGTTCTTGTAGCATTTGCTCTTATGGATGTGAATAGTGTCTGGTTACATCCGTATCATCAGAAGTACTTGTAAAGAGATACTATTGCAATTATTTTTAATCTTGCTATCTCTCATTGCACACTTCATTATGATCCTAAACATATGGCCAAACATAAATTGACTCTTTGTCTTCCTTTCAACTTACTGCATACTAATTATAGGCACTATCTGATCATATGTTTTCATTTTCATTTTCATTTAGAAACGAAGATCTGAAATGTTTTAGTGAGTTAGAATAATGACCTAGATTCAACAGTTAAACGGTTAATAGTATTATCGTACCATTGTTTCCTTTATTCAATTAATTATTGTTAAAGTTCTAGTGAACCAAATATAAATGTTATAATACTTCGGTACTTATTACATTCAAAACACGGATTGCTATGAAGAAGCAATCAGTTACATCGTAAAAATTATGTTATTGCTGCAATCACCGTGCATAAACACACTCAAGGTTTATAAAGAAAATAACCGTGCAGGCGATGGCACTGTGTTTATATCCTTTACCGCAGCATTTAGTTAGTATAGTAGTTCTATTCATGATAAGTGGTTTGAGCACCTTTAAACAGTGTCACTGCGAGTGGTTACAAAGCAGTGTGAAACATGGTTTATAAGTTCTTAAAGCTTTCTTAAAACTTCTTAAACATTTACAGTGCAGAAATGAACAGAACTTAGGTCATGTTAATACGTATTCCAGCAAAGATACTAAAATATTTAGGCTTATGCCACCAATAGGCACTTGCATGATAGATACCTTCTTCTGTGGTAGAGTCACGCAGAAGCGGTGATTGTGAATGTATTCTGTATTCTAATCACAGCTGTTGCGAGTTGTTAAATAATGATGTTAAATATTAACGATGAAGTAGGTGAAGTTTATGAAGGTGTTTCTATCGCACAACAATAAAATAGAGGCGTTCATATGAATGAATGAATGAATGAATGAATGAATGAATGAATATTTATTTAGTTTCAACAACAAACACAGTTATGTTAACAATTAAAAGAATATATATCTAAGACATGAAACCAAACAGGTATGTACTCGGTACGATTTCCCGATTTTCAGTACATACCAATAATTTAAATTATAAATAACAAACTAGACTAAAATAACACAAAGCGGGTACATTCATTTAAGGACAATAACACAATACCTACTGATTATAACACAAATCTGGTACATTATTCTAAAGACAGTAACACAATAACGACTAATGAAAATTAACATTTATAAGTAAAAAGCAGTGAACAGAAAAAAAAAGAAAACTGTTTCCAAAAACAAAAACAAATGCAGACATCAATAAAATATAGCTCGACGAAAACATCAAGTCACTAATCAAAAATACATAAACTATGTACACTGTAAGTATATAAAATGCACACGTATTTTAGCCCCGTAGCTTTTGCGCCTTAAGCAGATGTTCTTTAAATTTTATTTTAAAACTTTTTACTGTTGTGCAGTTTTTGACTGGAGGTGGTATATTATTCCAGCATTTTGTGGCAGCGTAGCGAAAGCTACCACGAAATGAGGATGTCCTATGTTTTGTGTGCATTAATCAACTTGCAACCCGGGTGTTGCGTTCAGAAAAAAGAAGTTTCTCATATAAATACTGTGGCTCGCGATTACGAATGACTTTATACAGCATACAACTATAATGCACGAATCTACGAGATTCCATATTTAATAAATTTCCACGATTTAGAAAAGGACACAAGGTGCTTTTCGGGGTATTTTAAAACAAAACCTAGCGCATGCATTTTGCACCCGCTGTATAAGTAGCTTTGTATGGGCAAGCAAACATCCGCTGATGACTACATCAGCATAATTTAACTTCGATAGTATTAATGACTCACATAGTTGCACTCTTGTATTTTCATTAATAAAGTCACGAATTCTATACAAATTCTTTAATCTAAAGAAGATTTCAGTCCTGCAATTAGCTAATAATATGAACGCCTCTTACATCTCACACACATAAGTGCATATTCGTACTGAATATCCGCGATAACTCAATATAAAGAACTAACCCGTTGATAATTTATCTGCAGTTTGACCGGTGTTAGGCTAATTAAACTGGATTAGAAAATCCTATAGTTAACAATACAAAGTCTGGAAGGAAGACGTCTAGCTGCTGTAGTATAACCCGTTAAGCCATTAATTTCTTACTATCAAAAAGACTAATTTAAATCCAACTGTAACCGGTAAAACCCGTAGAAATTATACGCCAGGTGATAAATGTAATATTGTCCATTTGTTAACGCCCGTCGTAAATAAAACCTCTCAATAGGGTCTCCGTCCTGAGATGAAGAAAATTATCATCTTAAAATGCACGATCTCTTAATAGCTACTAATTTGAATTTGTCACGCCGTTTTTGATTTGTGCTAAAGTAGTAGGGTCGCCACAATTTTTGATATATTAAATCATCTGTTTTGTTTTTTACGAAATTAGTGGAATAGTCAGGCCTAGTCCCATGGCGGATTCTAAAATTAGTGTTAGTTGCATACTAAGCAACGACAAAACTAGATATTTGATTTTGAAGTAATGGATTTTCTCCTTCTATAGTAATGATAGTCATTCATGTTGTAGTATTATTATTTCAATCTTTTCCGTTTTATGCTAAAATAACAAATTTTGTTCGATGTTTTTGTTCTTTTAGAAAGGTGGTTAGCGAGCAAATGATTCACTTGATGTTAATTGATTACCACCACCCATTTATATCCACAACTATACCAGGGCTGCACTTGTGTGGCCAGCTTTAAAAAAAAGTTAACTACCAGACGAAACGCAAAATTACAACAGAAATAGCTGTCATGTGTACCTCTACCGCAAAAAATGTACCAAACAAATAAACGTAGTGATCATTTTCAACTGCCATATTGTTAGCTTCAACGGCTATTTCATAGCGTCCTTTTACAAAGTTATGAGCATGTAGCTAAGACCTTTGCATTATTTGAAATATATCTTCTTCCTTCTCTTGTCCTTATCTCGCCTGGGTGTGGCTCAACATGTGGATCATGTTTGATCATGTTTGATTATTGGATCACCAATGGTATTGGCCAGGTTTATTACGACCAGCTGCCTGCCTGACGTCATACCTCCTTGGGAATAAACACCAAGACCCGGAACAATAATGTGTGGGTCATACAAATTTGTCCTGTGTGGGAATCGACCCCACAAACCCCCTTTTGGGTTAGATAGCACAAACATTAGCCCCGAGGCCAGTAGTATTTGACTCGACAAAGCTAATACAAGATTGCATTAGGCTGTCACGTTTTAGAATCTTCTTGCAGCGTTCACGCAACGATTACATTAGCGGTTATTGCTTCAAAGTGGGATATATTGGACTTGTCGTAATGGCCCCGTGTGCAATACAATGTGTCGGAATATTGTCTAGGTATCGTCTCATCTCATAGAGAAAATATATCCGGTTTAAAAAGAGGTACTGTAATTATTAATGTACATTAATATTTTGTAAGGTCTCCGGTGTCATATTTTAATTGTAAACTAATAAATAAAAATAAATATTATACGACACATTTTTACACAACATTTTTTAGTCCAAACTAAGCAACGCTTGTACTAGGGGTACTAGAAAACTGACATACTTTTCTTTTGTAAAAAATACATATCATACATATATAAACACCCAGACACTAGAAAAACACTATGTTCATCACACAATATTTGTCCAGTAGTGGGGATCGAACCCACACCCTCTGTCGCAGGAGGCAGGTACACTACCCACTACGCTATTCGGGTCGTAAACTGATGTTTATCTTACTGTTGTATCGCCCCATTGCGATACGTTATGTAAACTATGCTCCATATCTTCACATTTTATTTATTTTCTTGCTAAAAATCGTTTGGTTCGGTAAAATAAAGTTTTTTAAATAGAACGCTGTGTATGAGACAATTACCAAAAGGCAAACACGCCTCGTGATATCGATGTGTATAAGATAAATATTAAATAGTCTAATTTGGATTTGTAAGCCGACAGATCAAATCCACGTACAAGTATCACAATCAAGCATTCCTGATAAAAACAAATTTATATTCTCATAATTTTACGCTCAGCCATATTTACATACAGCCTGGTCACCCTAACCGCATTAAGTTTCATAAAATACTTACGAGCTGTATTGACAATATTTAAATCCATTAGGACGTGTTCGCTGGTCGTAAATTCAATCTTCGACTGAAGCTCACATTACGGGGTTTATTTATTGATAGTAGATGCTAATATGGGTCAGCGTGAGCGCCTAGGTCCGTTAGCCCGCCGTCTCGGAATCGAACCGGGCACCTTGCGATGTGAACGTGCCTTCTCCGTTGTTAAATTAGTTTCCTTTAAGAAAGGTCCACGGGTATTTTTCAGGGTCTATTATGTTACAAGGCATTAGTCTTCAAAAAGAGATAGAGGTCACTAGCTCGAATAAATACATGGACTGACGAGTGTTTTCAAATTTCCTGTGTGTAAAAAGATTTATGCCAAATGCACAAACTATCATATTGGCCCTATAAAGAGATAGATAAGATGTTGATTGCGTTTTTTTATGAGGAAAGGTGGCAAACAGAACTAACCAGTGATGCCTAAGTATTTCACCCACAGACAGCACCTGTGAGTTAGCAATTTTGTTTATTTTTTTAGGTTGAGTTTTGTTCAATGAAAATCCGGTAATCAGATAACAATTTCCATCCTTTAGGGCTGGACACCGGTTAGCTCATTTACCAGGCCAAAAATTGTAAATAATATATTTTTGCTTCCCCGGATGATCCAGTGCATATATGCAACAGGACAACCTTCTGCTTATCAAAGTTAAAAAACACGCATATCTCTATTTAGTTGTGATATACACCGGAACTTCTTGGAGTTTTTACGATGCCGGTTGCGTGGACTATGAAAGAACGAAACTGGTTTGTATGCCTCCACAATGCGCTTCAATAATTCAGCATCGCGGATACTGCTTTATGCGTGTATGCTTCGTACATCGGATAAGAAAGGGTACGAGTGGGAAGTCTGTTTAAATACAGAAAGATAGCACGCTGTGTGGTGTTAATGACCTTATATTTAGCCGCTGATGGACGATAATTGAGGATAGGACGTCCAAAATCTTCCATCAATGGTGTATCGACGATTGATATTCAATTTAGAATAACTATCAATAACAGGTGTTTCGAATCAATAGGACTTAAGGTTGTTCAATGATTTAGATTTTTCTTAACTATGAAATAATACTATTGCAATGTGATTTTCTTTTGAGTTTTATTTTATGCGAACATTTCCAACGTTTCGATTATTTTGCATCGTTTATACTTTGCCGTTTGGCATTAGCTTACCGTTTCATTTAATAACGCATACAATCGTAGGAATACAAATGAAATTTAAAGATGACGAGAACATTAAAAAGACCATCACTCACCATCACGTGCGCTTACCTGTTTCCTATCAAAGAATTACGACGCACTTGTGAGCTGGAATCGCGGTGAGCCAATTAAAACGGCCGCTGTATCCTAATTAAAGCGCAGAATTAACGTGCACCGACGAGCGGGCAGCTTCGAGTCGCCTTTGATCGCGCACTCAGACGAGATTCGGAGACCGGAGTGCGCTGCCCGTCCAATTAGTGGACATTTGTCCCGTGGCGTCGGCTTGGTACGCGGCGCAGCGCTATCGCGAGATACCACCGGTATATGTGACGGCATAATTTGCAGCATTCCCCTTTTTCGCGAGTCAGTACAGTCTGCAGCTTATTTCATACGAAGTACGAGTTATTGATGCGGTGCTAAGATATAATAGGTATACTAGATCGCATCGGGTGCGTGCTGACATTCTGGATCGAGATTTAGACTGGCTAAAATCATAAAGTCGTTTCTTGGTTGTATTAACTTTTATTAAAAAATAGGTAACATCCATAAACACTTTTAAAATCTTTTTAGAAGCTTCCTTAATGGCGAGAGCCTATTAGAACGTCGAAGAATACATTGATGACAAGGATACGTGGAAATGACTCTTGCTCTGTAATCCTAAGTCTGCTTGTTGCTGATGCGTAAATAACTTTATATACTTGTATTATTAACAAAATAACAAGTACGCAGTTTTTTTGCCGCTTCTCTGGACAAGTCTAGTTGTGTGAACCGGTAGCAGTTTTTTGACGTAGGATGAATAAGAGCTGAAAATTAGTATTTATTGAATAAAGAAATTTTGACTTTGACTTAACTTTTAAGTCAGTCCCTTGCCAAGTTGCCGGCACAGACTTAGCTTCGAAAGTACATATTTGCAATAACCACGATGTTATTGAAGATGAAATTAGTACAGCAATTATGAGATTCACTCAAACCAGTCGGAGTTAAAGTTAAAAATCCATTATTTAATTAAGATTAGATTAGAGAAGATATAAACGGAAAATAAAGAAGAACTCAATACTTTAAGTTTATTTTAAATATATCCCAAATATAGTTACGCACAGTTTTTACAAGATTTTTGTAATAGCCATTTAAAAGTCCTATTGAAATAAAATTTAAAGAAACATACAGTCATAGGTACTTATTATTTAATTTATTTAATGTAAAATGAATATTTTCAGATAAGTAACTCATTAGGTCATCACCAATTTCGTTTGAGATTAAATATGTGATAGAACAGTTCCCATGTATGATAAAATTGTCATCAAGTCGAGCTAAAAATGGCTGTGTTTCGCATGAATGTATTATAAGAAGAATAATTTGGTAAGGTGATATGGAAGATGGAGTAGACATAGAGCAGACAAGCTATTAGGGTTTAGTCTGAAACCGCATGCAATGCACCTGTCGAAATGTTGCAAGGTGTCAGCATTCCGAATGAAGATGGATCCCCATGAGTTTGAATAGCTTAGGATAATCCTAATTATGCATCTTTTTCGCATAATAAGGCAAAGTACGTTCATGGTGTAGATATAAATGCACATAGTTTTTAGATTTTAGACATCTCGCAAGAACGTAACCATTATTGCAAACGACCGGGCTTAACTTGAGCTAAGTTATAAATAAATATTTATCTTATATACTGATCCTTCTTTAATATTAAGACGGTAAACGCTTGAACTTACCATTACCTAAATCAGAATATCTTTAAGAGGTATTAGTTTTAATGTTTATTCCCGAATATGACAACAGACGAGGACACCCTATCACCGAGATAAATCCAGTTTGGGTGCCCGCGGCGCTTTTTTTTGGGAGTACGCCCTCGGGGGGCTATCCGGTAGCGGAATACCTCTCGCAAATGACTGTATAATTTGTTTCGGGGCCCCATCGCGAATTTATTTCGCCCGTCCGTAAATGCGCGGCCGCAGCGGCTGACGTGTTTGGCGTTAAAGCCGATTTAATGGCACGCTCAGACGCGTTCAGAGCACCGGGCACGCGAGCTCCCATGTTGAGATGTATGTAACACGCCGCGTCGGCCGGGATTTGTGTGCATTCGTGGCTTGTAGAGCGTCCTATATTTATGCAATTCACAGTTTAGCGATGAGGTAAACGCGCCGAGTGATTTGTTGGTCTATGTACCTATTTATCTCTTAACGTTGTGAGGAACGCCTCTAGGAGGATAATCTTACGTTATCAAATAACTGCGTTCGATTAAAAAACATACACAGTTCCAGAGAATCCCCTTTGGATACCAACTGATAACAAATATTTTAATTTATAACTTTTATTAAATTTATATCTTAGGGCCAACCGCCAAACTGTACCCCACTTTCTATGAAACATGTTGTCGACAGTGTTGAAAATATCTCTTTATATTTATGTATTTCTTCTGTGCGTCGACTGAACTCCTCTTAATTAGCTGGACAGGAAATTTTCTCAAGTGGATACGATTCAGTTCAACGATTTAAATTCAAGATTAATTTATTTTTTAAGTTATACTTCTTTTGGTTTATACAAATGTTTGTAATGTTTTTTTTTTTACTTGAAATTCACTCAACCGTAACCAGGATCAAGGTAAGGCAACTTTTGCGCGCAAAATAGAAAAAAAAACGTTCCAGCGAGCCATGAAAAAAACACTAGTGACAAAGTAAAGCATTTTCATTACAGGCATTCATAATTGCTGCATACGCTTATTCGCTTATTGAAATTATACGGCGGCGCGTTCACACGGGCCGCGCCATTTTTATCTTGATATCAATGAACACAACTTTCGTTCTTTAATGTGCGCGATGTAGAAGTTATGTCCTCTAGTGATGTGGACGATCTCGGCCGGTCTTTCTCGGTCATATCGTTGGATTCCTTCATTCGGATTATGACTTTGTCGTCATCATTTAAAGTCAAAGTCAAAATTTCTTTATTCAATATAGGCTTAATTTAAGCTATAATGGAACGTCATAAGAGCTACCACCGGTTCACTAAACTAGACCTAAACAGAGAAGGATCGGCAAGAAACGTAAAAAAGAAACCCTTTTCAGTTCATTCTTGTCCGTCTGTCTGTCCATATGTCACCACCGATTTTCTCAGGAATGGGTGGACCAAGCAAGTTGAAATTTATACCAGATACTGAGGCCTTTGATTCCTAGTAGGTCTATATGTATCAAGGCCTGAGTCAACACGAAAAGAAAAAGATATGGGCAAATTTATATTTTCGCGAAAACTTGTATCAATTTTTTTATATTACTTACAAGTTTCGCGAACATCAAAATCAATGTCGCTGAACTGCTACTAAACGACTGGATCGATTTTAATGATTTTTTTTTGTATGTGTTCTTTATTGGATTAGAGAATGGTTCAGAATCACAATTCGGTTAACTACAATTTTTTTTATTTAAGTTGTTGTTGGATTTTAATCGTAGGTACAGGACTACGCCTGTCGGGTCCGAAACGACTGTCAAGTTTTAGCCAGTCTTCAGGCCCATTTACACGATGCCGTTTTCTTGTACATACAAGAGCGATAATTGAATGCAATAAATTGCGCGCAATAATTGGTTACACCATTTGTTGTTTAGACAATGCAACTCATTTATTGCTTCAATTTAATTGTATACAACAGGCAAGAAACTGGCACCATGTAAATGGGCCTTAAACCTCGGTATTTCCAGAGTGTAATCGCGGCCCCGACGCGAGGTGACATATTTACTACCGAATGCTCTAGTTAAAGTGTCTCATTAGTTATTATTTTGTCAACAATTCACAAAACATTTTCTAACGAGGAAACTTTAAACATACAACAAGTCATGAATGGTACTTATACCAATTCACGGCAGAAGCAAATAACCATTATTTTATTATTTTTTTATGATCATTTATACATTTAGCTCCATAATGCCATCGCTATCTTTTCCAGAAGCAAACATAGTATTTACAAGCACCAATAAAAATAATTTTGATATGTTTGTTATATTTACCTAGACATGTATACGGCAGGATTGGATATATTGGATGCAGGCCGCCTACGACCGGTCGAAGTGGAAGTTAATGGGGGAGGCCTATGTTCAGCAGTGGACGTCCTACGGCTGATATGATGATGATGTATACGGCGTATAAATACAGAAACGTCACTTGATGATTCCTGAATCTTCAATGGTTCAGTTGAAAAATCCTTTTTCAATGACTTGGTAACCATTACAAAGATATTTTCATTACATTTTAAAGCCCAGAAAAGGTCCCAAGGATAATTCTTTAACCTCCATATGATACGAGCATTGAGTCTTAACATTTTATGTACGATGTCCACTTGAGAATTTCCATCCACTTGTGATAATAGCATTAGCTTTACACAAACTCAAAACATGAAATTGCAGCTTAAGATTAATGTGTCTCATTATTTCTACGCCAAGACTGAAGACTATACTTTTTTTATGCAACACATCACTATGCCTTTGCTATTCGCGCGCAGAAATCGAAAAAAAAAGTTCCTCGCTCAATTAAAAGCAGCGCTCTTTATAACTGCGTGTTATTATAACACTGGGATATCTCAGTTATGGCCTTCTATAGAGAATGTTTTTATGGCATGACGACTTTAATGTTTGCTGTTGTAACATAAGTGATGTTAATTTTACTAGTATACGTAAAATTTATGAATTGAGTCATTGAAGAATGAATAAAACATTGTATCAGTTTGCCTTCGTATATTATATTCAAATATTTTCTTGTCCCTTGTCCCATTGCATTTTAGTTCCCTATTCAATATTTATTTGTCAATTTATTTATAGTAATATCAATCCTATAAATCAATTTATAAATCTATAGGAATGGGAAATAATTTTATTATTGCTAGGGCCACTCGATCTGATAATTTGTGCAACAGCAATAGCTGTCGCACGAGTGAGGTAACCGGCCCCCATTTTTTTAAAGGTGTCTGTTTTTAATATTAAAGTAACCGCTTTTTACTAAATGCATATAGATGTATACACGGTACATATACCAAAATAATTTTTTTTTACAATTTTACTGTCTGTCTGTCTGTTTGTTCCGGCTAATCTCTGAAACAGCTGGACCGATTTGGACGGGACTTTCACTGGCAGATAGCTGATGAAATAAGGAGTAACTTAGGCTGTTATTTTAGATTTTTTTATATTTTAAATTCCACGCGGACGAAGTCGCGGGCACAGCTAGTATATAATAAAAATAGACAGAATGCTGTGCACAATATGTTGATGGTATTTATTTTATTTGTTTTGAGCTAAAGTAAGTCAATTTTATCACTCTCATGTCCGTCTGTTGTGTGTCACGACCGATTTTCTCAGGAACGGATGGAGCTAGCACGTTGAAATTTACGAGATATGAAGTCTTTAGGCCCTATTAGGTGTATAAAAATCAAGGTCAAAAGATACGGGCTAATTTAGATTTCCGCGAAAATTAGTTAGTACCATTTTTAACTTTTTTATTTGTCGGAATTTTCTCTTTACTCGTGCTGTATGTAAATCCTTGCTTTTAACCAAAATTGATAATTCTAGGTCAACCGGAAATACCCTATAGGTCTTGGGTCGAAAACCTCTATGGTAGTTCCCATTGACCTAGAATCACGAAATTTGTATTGTATAAACCTTATTACTGTTATTTTCCACTTGCTAGGTCCTGTGAAAATCGGTGGTGATTATTTACCAATTTTATTATGGCATTGTAATGGTAAGCTACGGAACCCTCGGCGCACGAGTTCGGCTCGCACTTGACCGGTTTTTTATGTATCAATAAGTTAATTTTATATGGCATTTCTTTTTTTATAACAATAGTTCTGCAGCCGACGACTTCCTTCCCTTTGTCATTTATGTTAATCAAATCAAAACCATTATCTTCAGTCCCAGGTTTTTAATAGAAAATAAATATCAAAGAAAACAATGGGTATCGCTCCCAAATAAATTATTGTTAAAAACCTTTTTTTATATAAACGTATCAATTGTACCACTGATTGACAACACTGAAAGTCTCACCACTTTATGTTTACTATTAAGTCCCCATCAGCTTGTAAAATGGCTCTAATCTGGGAAAGGGCATCCGATTTGCATATGGTCGAACAGTGGGCAGACTGACATAAAGACTAAAGTAGAGGGCACTTAGAATTATATACTACTAGCGACCCGCCCCGGCTTCGCGCGGGTTAATGTATTGAAATAAACCTTCCTCTTGAATCACTCTATCTAGTAAAAAAAACCGCATCAAGATCCGTTGCGTAGTTTTAAAGATCTAAGCTTACATAGGGACAGACATACAGCGGGATGTCTTTGTTTTATACTGTAGTGATGTCCAGCCCGTTGCAACGACTGTTAATAATATTTTAATGCAAGAGTTTATATACAAATAGTTGTTCTTTTATTAATCCGTGCCGTTAACTAATCTGTGTGAAAGTTGGGATGGAGATAGCTTATTCGGTGATTAAAATAAAACTTTGAAGAGGCACGCGGCAGTTCCGGCTGTTACACGGATAGGGACCTAGCTACCTGTGCTAGTTATTGTTCTTGGCATTTCGTTTGGCATATGAGGTATCCGGGGGAGCACTATATAATTTTTGACAAGCCTTCCACCACTCCACAGATGATCGAAATGTTTGTGGATGACGTTAATCATTTAACTTAGGTAAAACACCCGATCGCTTCTCATACAAAACTTTTTGATAGCACACGTTCTGTGATAAAAGAAGAAAACTAAAGAGTCGCTATAAAATTATAGCGGGCGTGCCGTTATAATTTAGTAAACATAAGGTAAGAAGAGCTCTCGTAACAATGGCGATGAGATCAGGCTCCGCGACGGTGTTATGCGAGTCGTAAAATCGAGTTGAGAGTGGGAAAAAACTTAAGGCTTAGTTAGTAGTAACAGTTACTTTCGTTGCATAAAACACACGCTCGGCCGCGGTATTGTTCGTCATATCGGTAATTAACGAGGTTCCCATCCCAGGGACGCTGGGGAAAGTCACCGCCCTCACTTCTCCATTGTACATCAGTTTTCGCATGATGAATGAAAAGTGATCAAGACAAGCTCTTCGATTGTGCTTGCTTAAAAAATTGCCTTTAATGTTCACGCTGTAGTTTTAGACTCAATCGCGTTTTTCTCTCCTTCTGTTATGTAAAGAGAACGGTTGCTAAGGTTCACTGTGAAAGGAGGCCTTCAAACACTAGTATGTTCCGTGCCCGTGGACGCTGCAATTCCTAAACTAGCTTGGGATGATGTTAAATTTGAATTTACTTTTAAACTTAATTTTTATGCTGTGACATTTAAGATACGACATGGAGCTCAACAGAGCTGTTTGACAACGCGCAGGCAATTTCTCTCTCATCATATTCGTATATCTTCGCGGTTTATAAACATTTCATAATCGTAACTGGTCGAATCAATCAATGAAACGCACTCCACTTGAGGCCAATCGATTACCACTCCAACTAACACAGAGCAGCGTTCACCATTACAATTTGAAACTATATTTAGATGTACATCTTATGGTTTTATTCACCTCGCACTCAGAGCGAACGATCGCTCCAGAATGAATTGATTTGAACTATTGGCATGCGTTTTAACTGTAAGTGATTAGCAAATTCTTCTACCGTCCCGACATAACGCTGTTATTGAAATATAATTGTTAACTGAGAATCAAAGTTAATTATATCACCGTGGAAGATGCATGCTATGTATTAAAAGTTGCTAATTTTAAACATTTTCTAGATATGGCATTGACATTACTTGGATTATGGGATTATTGCGTTGATATAATTAATTACTTTACGGCTTACGAAGCTGATAAATAATATTAAACTTATTGGTCCGTAACATCATCAGGAATTCTTCGTAGATTCCAACTTTAAATTCCTTAATATTTCAATAAAATTTTACAAAACATCTCATTGGAGCATTTATTTCAATTTTTTTAATGCACCCAGATATGAACTCGATACTAAATTTGAATGGTTGCAATAGATGTAGGTATGCTTAACTATCACTTATCTTTTTTTCAATTTTACAGTTTCACTATAAAACTAAAGTCAACGCTATATTCGGCATTTTTAAATCGGTAACTGCTGTGAGTCATATGTAGGTATCAAACATGTCAGAAATCGGATCAACTAAAGCATTCCGTGCCCACCGTAAATCATTACATTTATGTGTTACTTCGTACAATCAGGACAAATTCGCCGTTAAAGGGATTTGTCGAAGCCTATTGGAATCTAATTATCGAACTGCGTTTGTGTCTGTTAATAAATTGTCGTCATATCGTGACGTAAATAATAGCTGTATTTTTTGCATTTGGTTGGTTGCCTAAACGGTAACTGCAACTTATGGCTGCAACTTTCTGACAGCTGATTGCACAAAAGTAATCTTGATACGCAGAATAATTACTGAGTATGTTATTTTTTCGTTCGAAATGGGGATCTTCTGTGGACGCCCCCTGCCCCAGCTAGAGGACATTGGATGTTAAGTATTTAAGTATGTTATATTACTTAAAAGTTATACCGTAGAATAACATTTTATCTTTACTAGCAATCTTACACGACACAAAATATAATCATCCGATTTTCTTGTAAGATGGTAATTATTGGAGAAATATTTATATATAAATATATGTTGTGTTTAAGATTCTCGACATATTATATTAATATTGCTATAATATATACAAATATAAAAACAAAAACAAGTTATTTAAATATTAAATTCACAAAAAAACAATTTTCGGGTTTCCAATAAAGCACTTTCTTGCAAATAGATTACGATAAAATATGATGAAAGTTATTTATGTCACAATTAGTTAACCGTTCTCGTTCTCAATTTCGTTGACCAATTCATACACGATAAATCATTAGTTTATAAATTATTTGTAGAGCATTGCTGAATAAGCGATGTATCGAAATCACACGTAAGTCATTACGAGACTTATGACCACTATAAATCTCAATCCACCTGACGGAGAGGCTTTCATGCGAGGCGCCAATTACGTCCGTCCCAAAAGGCGGCGGCGCAGCGGTAACGCTAATCCGTGAAGCTCGCATGCGGCGGACGTAGCGGGGGATAACAATGGCTCTTGCGGGCAGCGAGACGCGGCGACAGTGCGGCCGACACTGCGGCGCAGATATGCTGTGCTCTGCGCGCTGCTCTTGCTTTCTCTGCCGTGAACTCCAGTCCTGCCGCGCCGCCGACGCGAGGAAGCCGCCGGCGAAGCACAACATGACAGATAATTTTATACTGAAGAAAGCCGAGGCCTGGGAACCCATCAAATTCATCCGCGGCGCCGCCAGGCTCTCAGTAAGGCACTGGCAGAACAGGGAGCCCCAGGCGCACCCAAAGACGAGGATCGCGACCCACAAGTCGACGAGTTGCGAACAGTTGTATCCGCAGAAGGAGGAGGAGCCGGGACACCACCTGATGAGGAGAGCCCCGAGCTCGGACAGGATCAAAACGCACATGGAGCACAAACCGCTCTTCAAGCTGTTGGGGAACTCTCGCTCGAAAAAGGTGATCACGAACGATCCATCAGATTCGAAAGTGCGTAGGAGCGTTCTCAACTTTAGAAAGTGCGAGAACTCGCCTTCTAAAAATATTCACGAGAAATATATTCCTTTGCCGCAGGTCTCTCACAAGGAGCATGTTAATAATGAACCGAAGCCTTGGACGGCGCAGTTCGACGACTGCTGTCGACCACCGGTGTATCAAAGTGTGGAGAAGAAGAAAGACGAGGGCAAAGGCTCAGTGGCGGAGAAAAAGATTTACAGCAACAGACCACCCTGCTACGAAGAGCTAGCTGAACGGCTGTCACAGGACAAAATTCGAAAAGAGAAACATCCTAATTCCAATGGAGAGATGGCAAATAAAATCACTCAAAACAATAATAAAGTTGTTATATACTTCGGTGATTCGATAATTCGTAAGCATAGCGAGCAGAAGAGGGAAGAGAGAGAATCCAAACAAAAAGAAGAAGCTATTTACGTCAACCGCTTAGTAGAGGAGACTGAAAACTTAGATGTAAGTAAGGTGGAAGATAAAGGTGGTACAACACAGTTAATATCAGAGGTCGAAGTTCCCGAAGCTATTTATGCTGAAATTAAGCCCGAAGCTGCTTTGGAGGTCCAAGAAATAGCAGCCATAAACGACGCTACTTACAAGAAGGATGTATTTGAGACTTTAAGTCCTGACGGCTTTTTGGTTGTGGAGTTTGAGGGAAATTTCGAGCGAGCTCGCCAATTGGTGGAGCTTGTCCATGGAGTCGCTGGTGACCGGCAAGATGCCACCATACTGGACGACGAGGACCATTGCGATTGGAGCTTCATCCAAGACTGGAGGAAACGGTAAGTTGCCCTAATCAAAAATCAACAGTGGCCATTTAGTCTCTGACCTGGTTTTGGTTTGTGTAATAACATAATTATAATTAATTCACATCTAAACCGTTACGGTGTGACGCTAATGTTTTATTGTGACGAGGAAGTGATCTCAGATAAGTCTATTATGTAAAAGTTTATTTCATTCTTTTCGAATAATTAATAATACGATTCTACATTTATATCTTTCCAACTTTCGAAAACATTTTTTTTTCGTTGCTTAATCGATTTTTAAGAAAATAACTGTTGCAGTTAATTGCGATGGTTATTGGAGTTAAAAAAAGAATAAAAGTAAATGGCAAATCAGTTCCTAACTCACTATCTTAAGTATTATTATTGTATTTTACTTTGAACCAATGTAACTTAAGTGAATATTTATGGACACATTTGAATTTCTACGTAATCGAGACTGTTTCTCTTATCGTGAATAGAATTATCCTCGCCTCGTAGGAGGGTATCATGGCTGGCTTTAAATAAGAGTATCTCCTTCATACCCAAGTTTTGAATATTTTGAATACTTATTAGCGATTTGAATATTGTTGAGATTATTAATTAAATAAAATGCAGTTGGACGAATGACGAGAAGTCAATTTGCGTCCACTAGCGAGGCGGCGGAGGCGTCGGTTGAAACAATCAGGTTAATTGCCTAGAACTGATAACCATCGCCTGTACCTGGTCAAAGACCTCGTGCGATCTTTCGCTGTCTGTTGTCGGACTTTTACGAGCCGTGTATCAGAATGACACAACTTCTTAATACGCATGGATTTGCATGAAATTGTTGCTACTAGTTCTGTTGATATAACGCGCACAGCGGTATAAGAAAACATCGTTAAGAAAGTTATATAAAACACTAGCTGTGCCCGCGACTTCGTCCGCGTGGTATTTAAAATATATGTATAATAAATATATATAAAATATTGTAAAAGAAATATTTTGGTATACGTACGGTGTATATATCCATTTGTATTTGGTAAAAAGGGGTTATTTTGATATTACAAACAGACACTCCAATTTTATCTGTATAGATACAAGCTTTTTTTTCGTTTCGTCGTCGGATTAAAAACTATATAAAGACACTGTTCAATAGATATGGTGGAAACAAATATCAAGTCAATCAATTGGCTAGATTTTGGGCTTTGTTGAAACAAACATACGTTAACAAGTTACAAACGGAAGTTAATTTATTTTTACATAAAAAATATTTTGAAGTGGTTGATGACGAGGCCTGTGCCTTACGTTGGAATGTACACATGTACATAATATGTGCATATGGCATATGTGTAGGTTGTACTTTATTTGACCTTGATTTGCCTATATCTGAAAAATATTCTAGCAACTCTATTTGCAAAAAACAAAACGCGACATCTATCGGTTAAGCAATATATGCTGCCATTATATATCGAGCAATAAATCGATTTTAACACCATGTGTTGGCGCTGGCAACACTGTACACCGGATATGACATTATCTACTCGAGCCAAGTGACACATGGTTGCATTAGGGATGGGTCGTATCGCTTTTTCTGAGTACCGTATCTGAATCCGATATCGATTTCAAATATCAGATTTCGAAACTATGTATTTTAATATCTAGATATTTTACGGTTCCCTATCCACGTTGATTAATTGAATTCTAAAAAAAAAAAAAAAAAAAAAAATTGTATACTTTAAGGGAGTGGATATAAGATGAATGAAATAACTTCCCTTCATACTTTTTCCAGGCTTAGGACTGGCTGCAATATTTCATACTTATTATAAATATAAAATTGTGCAGGCGTATTTAAAAGTTGATTCATTCTATGTAACATAATTTTCCTTATATTTAAAACTTAACATTATATATTTACAATTATGTCAGGGTTAATAATTATTTATATCCCTCCGGGTTCAAATTCACGTTTAGGAATGTAAGCTCTCTGACTTTATTCGTCGAAACTCTTGTTCGACGATCATTAATAATTAACCCTGTCTTACTAAAAATGCGTTTTTTTTTAAATTATTAAATTAAAAATTTCATTAAAAATATAAATTGAAGTAATATAAAAATGATTTATTTTAACATCTTATATACCGCTTAATAATTGACTTTAACATATTTTTAGAACACGCAATCGAGTGGCAATATTTTTATTATTTGTGTAATGAAGAAATAATACATTCAGTATTATAGCTTAGGGCGGAAGAATTTAAAATATACACACAAGGCACATAAGCCTTGGTCTGATTTCCACCAAAGCAGCACAGCACTATTAAATAATATTTTTCTTTTTGTGTACTTTTATTTTTTTCCAAATATATGAATAAAATTTAGCTAATAAAAATATTCACAAAAAATTTACCACCTAAAAAATTTCCATTGTATATCTTTCTTCCTAAATTTAGGCAGAAAATTCTTAAGTAGTAAGTTGGCATCCCTTACTATTACGTGTTAAGTACCAATGCAATCCAGCTCAAGGCTGAACAAAATTTCAAAGACATCGTTAATACCGTAATTCGTATTTAAATGCAACAGAGTTTTTTTCCATGCTGTTAAGATTCAAAATTACTTAACTGCGCGCTTTGTCGCCCGTTACGGCTCAAGGCTAAACAAAACAATAAAAATACTAATAATATCGTTGTAGTAATCGCTGATACCAAGATTAGTATTTAAATGAAACGGATCTTATTTGCATGGTGTTAAGATTCAAAATTACTTAACTTATTCATAATATCTGTTTAAAAATCTGATATCGTGCATTGCTTGCCGTCCCGCTCTAACTAGTGAGTATTTGTATCTCACGCGCTTTGTCTCTCGAAATCGGTTTAAAAATCAGATATTGTGGCAAACGCGTATGATATCGCCGTATCGCGATTCGTGTCGGTATAGCGAGCGAGCACGGTACATCAGATTTCGGAAATATCAGATATTGTAAAATACATAGATATTGAACGAGCCAGTAAGCGATATTGGGATATTGTACTAATATCTAGTTTTCATATCTGATACGATTTGTATCGCCCACTTCTAGGTTGCATAGAGCAGCGGTCACTTGGATTCCGGCTGCGTTGCCGGACGGTGATATAACCACTAGTGCTGCTTGTCGTTATAATACTTGTTAATATTCAAGTTCAGTAATAGTTAAAATATTAGAATCAAGGTAAAAACGTTAGAACTCTTATATCAGAAGTGGGATTCAATACGAAAACTCGCATTTGGCTGTTCAAACAATCGGCGACATATTTTCTTCTTGTGTACCTACCCTCGTAAAATAAAACAGTGTGCTTTATACTTACTATACGTAATGGTGATAAAATCATTTGGTTAAATGTAACGAAAGTTTTGCTACCGAGCATTTTAGTAGTTGGAAGATTTAAGGCATGAACTGGTGATGGATATCCATTGTGAACACCACCACTGGTACTTAGACACCGTAGCGATACACGACTGGTGTAACCGGTAAAGCCACCTAAGTTTGATAAATCACTGAAAACTGTGAACGTGGCGATATGCATCCCAGTTGTGAGGGATAAGCCACAGGGCAAGGTGTTCTGAACGTGGCGATATGCATCCCAGTTGTGAGGGATAAGCCACAGCCTGAGATACATTGTCTTAAAATAAAAATAATATACTATGTTAAATGTAACATAGTATGTTACATTTCACTTCTAACCCGTCATAACTATTTAATTCCCTATACTCTGGATGTTGTTAATTCCTGATGAATTTTCTAATTATTAATATGTAACTCTGTAATATACTAAGAGAACTTATTCACCGAACTCTGTCCAACCCTTCTAGATTTTAAGACGTGGCAGTGTCTGTCATATCTCATTTCTGGTGTAAGTAGTTAACCACCTGTACTTTCTTGGGGTATGTTAGGACGTGTCAGTGTCTGACATATCTGATATCTTTCTGATGCTATAAGTAGATTTTACCATATTTTTTTGGGTTACGTCAAGGTCTAGTGCGTTTATAATACCTAATTATATTTCGTTTTATAAATAGTATTATTTTAGTGCTCACTTCGTAATATTTAGGTAGGTAAACGTAATCACAACTTTGTTGATGCATTTTAAACATGAGATCGTACTGTTTGCTATTTAATTGAACGAACAACGTTTTGTCCGAAATAATATTGAAACAAGAAAACTCGATCTTCATTGATTATTTTCACTTTCTTTGAGTAGGCGACCGGATTTAATGCATTGGACACATCTAAGCAACGAAGCAACTAAACAGATCAACGCAGAAGTTGATGATTAGAACAAATTAATTTCACGATAGGCAGTCAGTTGCTGGAGCAATGAACTCTAAACTGTTGTAGTTTTGTGTTACATCTTCAGCTCTGTACTGTCTCGCAAACCAGACAGTGCAATTAATATATACCAAGTGAAGGCTTGTAATTGGCTGTTTGTCATCTAGTTTAGAGTTAGCCTAGTTTGAATAGCTGTAAGTCTTCCATATATTAAACAAATAATTTTACGTAACCGTCCAATATACAGGCTTTGTTGTCACTTTACCTCTGTTGATAAACCAAAACAGTTAAATAAAACCTCTTTCCAAAACCCAGAAATATGAGAAAACGCTCTTGTTATTAACAAAAGATTGTACAATACTTACATCACTAAACATAAACATAAAACAAAGTAGTAATTCTCTCGACTCACCACAATGATATTCTTTATGAAACGGCTACTGTTTTGATGGCGTCAACTTTTTTATTTTACAATTGGAGAAAGTTAGTTGGCTCGTTTAATTTTGGCTTTCTTTAACGCTTTAATAACGATGTCGTTATTCTAACGATCTTCGTTGAGGGTAGTTTTGATTACTATAGCTCAAATTTATCGTTACTTAATTCATCAACAGACTGTGTAACAGATATCTTTTTATATGTGAAAAGTTGCCAAGCGAGCAGGCGGTTCACCTGATGTTAAGTGGACATCTGCTACTTTTGAAGATTGGGCTCCGGCTACATCTGTGTGCTGTGCTAT